GTCGTGCCAAATGACTGGAAGAATGAGGTCCCACCATACCGACCTGCCAATAACATAGGTGAGGTGACAAATGATATTGCCAAATGTCCTCTCAGAGCTAATGTAAATGCAAGAATGCCAGCATACCCTCATGCACCTGGCGGAGCTCCAGGAGTTGCAGGTCAAGATGTACAGAGTGATGAGGAGCAAGATGCAGTTTAATCTTACATTATCAAATTTCTTCTTACATGATATATCTTGTTTAATCATTTGGTTACATAATTCAATAATATTTTGTGAAGGATACACTTACTTTAAAAAATATATATATATATATATATATTGTGTTTATTCTCCTAATCTGAACTATCTACATTGATTTCTTATCCTGATCATGGCACGTAGGTATCCTAATCGAGCAGGTCCTTCCGATGCAAGCTATCTGGAGGATCATTGCAATGAAGCTCCGGTTAAATGGTTGATTGAAGGAATACACTTATTCACAAGAGTAACCAATCACTGGTTTTGCCAAGGTATAAAAAATACCTTTATATGGTATCGTGATAATGTTCATATTTACTTGTTGCCATTTTATGATTATCATATGATAAAATTAATCCATAATGTTATTATGAGAGGTTATCCTGATTACATTTAGAGTTAGTTCAGTTTGGGCTCTTTGCGTGTTCATTTATACTTAATGTTACTAATACTTTAAAAAAAAAAAAAAAAAAAAAAAGGCGGGAGTAACTATGACTCTCTTAATTTCGCGCAAGGTCTTAGGAGATTGGGTCTCCCTTTCTCGATGCAGGCCCCCGTAGGCGGTCGTTTGAGGTGTCGGGGCTTTGCCCTAGTATCCGAGATCAGTCCTACGAGTCGTAGTTAAGCAAGCAGCCACCTCTTCGATGGTTCCCGCCACCAGTATCTCTTCCCTTCTTTATGGAGGGTTGGGAGAAACTAAGAGCTGCCTCTGCGAAACACCGGCCTTGTAGGGTTGCCAGCCCGCTCGGCCGTATTTTGTCGGCCCAGTCAATTATACAGAAGCCTCGGATGAAATTCTTTTGACCGGAGGGCCCTCAGGCCCTACCGGCCCGACAAACCCTTCCGATGAAGCAGGACCGAGCGAAACCTACGTCTGTAGAAAACCGGACTGCGGTAGAAGTTTTGTGACCTCAAGGGGCAGGGGTGTTCACGAGCAAAAAGCCCACAAAAATTGGCACGACGATCGACAGGTCGAGAAAATCGACAATAAAAAGGCACCGTGGAGTGCCGAAGAAGCAGCGCTCCTGGCACGGCAGGAGGCGCAACTTATCCTTTCCGGCACAAGATTTATTAATCAGGCATTGATGCCCTATTTTCCTAATCGTACCTTGGAATCTATAAAAGGTCAACGGAGGTACCAACGCCACAAAGACAAGGTACTTCAAATCCTCAGAGAGTTGGACATAAAGATAGAGAGGTGGACATAAATGGGTTACAGTTGCCTGAAAGACGCATATTTGCCGAGAACATTATGCAAGATACTATGACATATGATCAGCAGTGTGGCATCACATTGGCAGATAGGTTAGGCTATATTACCTGTGTATTACAAGAACCCGAAAAAGAGTCATTGTGCTACAGGAATAAGCTTAAATGCCATAACAATAAATCAACATTGAGGAAGAGAAGAGGATTGCTTGATTTCTTGGGAGATATACAAAACAAATTGTATGGAGTAGCAACAGAAAAACAGTTGAAAAATGTTCATGACTTAATAAATGATGTACACAATGAGTCTATCCGAAATAGTCAGGAGATTCAACTGATTAGAAACAATACCATAACACTCAACAATCACCTTGTCAAGGGTTTAGAGCATCTATCCCAGAACCTGTATAAAGAAATAAGTAAACTAGCTCATTCTATCCAAGTATGGGCAAGTAATGTAGATGAGAACCTGCATGCAATAAATGCAGAAATGCAAGAGATCAATATGGTATCTATGATACATACAGCAACATTAACACTTAATGCTTACACTCATATCTTACGTGATATAATTAATGCTCTCGACTCGCTGACATCTCATTATCAAGACACATTGACTAGTATATCACATCATACTATCTCTCCCCGTTTTATTAACGATGATTTACTTTCTCAACTTTGGAGAACAATATCTGCCAATATTGGGAATAATTTGCAAATAGCCGAATCAGACACAAAATTAGCTCTCCTCATTTCATCCATATTCAGTACATACACAACTCGTACAAAATTAGTAATTGTACTCCGTATACCTCTGGTATTACACCCAAAAAACATAACTTTTTAGGGATCCTAGGTCTGTCCCAATTATAAAAGGCCAATACAGCTATGAGGTGATCATGCAGGATAATATCCTTATCCTCAACCAAGATACCAAGGAATGGGCAATTATTGATCACACAGATTACATCATATGTATACGGGACTTAAATAGAGTATGTGAAGTTGATATTATCTGGACGTCATGGAATAGCCCGTGTTGTCACTTGAGTGTTCATCTTACGCAATACAAGTCACATGACATATGTCAAGTAAAGAGAATCAATCATAATGAAGGAGATATCCCCTTCATTGTCTCATCAGGTGCAAGGTCGTGGTTAATATCCACCAACAGAGATAAGATGGAGGCACAATTGACATGTGCTGGTTATCAGGGTGTACCATCACACAACTCGGTACAAATGTTACCCTTACTGGGTATCGTGTCATTACCATTGTTCTGTGAAATGACTATAGGTAATCATAGAATCCATAGCCCATATGCTCAAATTGGCTCGACTGAGATGTTGATAGCAAGTTCTGTCGAAGAAGTGCACTATGAATATCAAGATTTCATAGTGGTTAATATAACCAGGGAAGTGCCATTTTTGTCGTCTCCTAATCACAATAGATTTATACAAAAAAAAAAAAAAAAAAAAAAAAAAAAAAAAAAAAAAAAAAAAAAAAAAAAAAAAAAAAGAAGAAGAAGCATTGCACAGCATTTGTAGTTGCACAGCATTGGGCAAAAACACATAGTGTAACAAATAATGATGTGATCATGGCCAGATTGTATGGAGAAATTGCAGCTACAAATTTTGCATCCGAGAAGAATACTAGACAAGACGTTTTTAATGCCAGATCCAGTATTTACAAGATTTTAATGAGCAATCGGCCCGCACAAAACACATTTCAGGCTGCAATCAATGATATTGTGAAAAGATGCAAGGAAGCTTCCCAGAATCAGATTGTAACAGCGGAGGAAGCTAGTAAATTTATGGATGCGAGACACCCAGTTTCTCTTCAAACACATATTTTTTACACCATGAGAGGACAAGCTATTTCGGCTGATTTTCTAAGAAATGAAAATGCGAGAAATGCCTGGATAGACCTTGCAGACCCTATGGTCGGCTATATAGAGCTTGAGAATATCAACTTTGAAATCATCGACGATATTACCCAAGTTTGGTTACAGATGACTGAAAATTCAATGCTTGGATATTTAGAAGCAAGAGCCATACAAAATGTCGACAAGTGCCGATCGCTTATTGCAGGAGCTATGTTTGTTTATATAGTATCCATGACCAAGGAGCATAACTTAACCGCAAGTTGGATAAGTAGACGAAAGCAACAGTTTCAATCAAGACTTCCAGGATTAAATCTGGACGCATACATAACAGAGGGGATAGTGAGACAGTATCCCCGCTTTTACGCCATGAAAGACCCTACATGGGAGAACATATATAACCAACTTGCACTATGCTGGTCAATGCTGCAAAGCAACGAAGGACTATCACTAGCTTGGGTCATTGAGCAATCCACTAGTTCAAACGTTACATGCTTGATTAACATTGCAGATGTAGTTTCTCGGTTGCAATATTTTGATGTAGAGCTTTTAATAAGAAAAGGAGTTCCGGAAGGTAATTTCGTTAACGCATGCAGGATGGCTCTAGATCTTCTGAGAAACCCCTTTTGTTCTATCGTGCGTCCAACTGTCAATTTGAGACAGTATGCTGATCTTGCATATATCTGTACCCATGTGAAGCGTGAGCTTATGAAGGACGTGGTCTTTGGGGGGTATAGAGGATCAGCAGGAGGGATGTGTGTAGTTGCGGAGTCTGAGTTACGCATTTTAGCAGCGGGTGTGTTCAACATATCTAAGGCAAAAGCTGAAATGGAGCTGACGTTGTTTGACCAGTACAAGAAAACAGTTCAGGGTCACATAGTGAGAGAAATTGGTAATGAGGTGTTTAAAATACCGGTAGGAGCAGCAGAACAAGGGGCCGAGGCAGCTGCTGACAATAATAGAGAATTGGATCGACAGGCTAGAGCAGGCTGGCCAAGACAAGCTCGTGATTTACCACCTGGTTCACAGATGGTAACCACTGAAGAAATGGTAGCGGAGTTAGACGCACAGCAGTCACAAAGATCAAAGTCATTCAAAGTAATAATGGCTAACCTTTACAGTGTACAAACACAGGTTCCCCTAAATGTCATTCCTGCTAACACATTAGATATGCCGTCGCCTTTGCGAGCCATATCAGATGCAGTAGCTGCTGCTCTTGCTGATTGGCATATTATAACTCCTGATGACTGGAAAACTGTCATACCGGCATATCAACCTAATAATAATATCGGGCCAGTAACAACTGACATTGTTAAGTGCCCACTCAGGGTCAATGTGAATGCTAGAATGCCGGTATATCCTCATGCCCCTGCTGGAGAGCCTGGAGCTCCAGGTCAAGGTGATGAAAGTGACGAAGAACAAGACGCAGTGTAATCCTATAATATCGTGGTTTCTCTTCATCAATACATATTTTGACTTAATCATTTAGTTATATAACCTAATAAGATCTTTTGAAAGACACTATTACTTTAAAAAAAAAAAAAAAAAAAAAAAAAAGAGTCTCAGTTTGACCTCCTCAGTCTCAGTTTGACCTCCGCGGTGTAAACATCGTAGCGCAGGTAGCTCCGGTGTGAAGTCAACCGTGAACGGCGACGCGAGGCAGTTATACATGGATCCTAACGGTCCCCGAGGGTCTGTGGCAGGATTTCCTGCATCCGGTGGGGGACTATTCGTTGACGACCAAGGCAGGACAATGGCTAACGAGATGGACAACGGCGAGGGACATTCGCTAACTGACCGGGAAGAACGAAACACACAAGATATAAGTGAAGCTGTGCAATCAAGTGTGACTAGTGATGTGATTATCGAACTTCCGTTAGTGAATGTGTTGGACTGTCCCATATGTGCAAGATTAGACAAACGATTCAGTTTCCTGAATATAAGAGACTTAAAGAAACATCTAATCGAACAGCACAGCGAGGTGAAAGTGTTGTGGCAGTGTAAACAGTGCAATAAAATGTTTCCGGGAGTGCACAACTGTGTCTGCCACATACCTAAATGTAAAGGATTACGGGAAACCATCGTTAAAGCATATGTCTGCAGCATATGTTCGGAATCGTTCACCACAGGAAGGGGATTATCCATGCACGAGTTGCATCGGCATCCCGATACACGTAACGTAAAGAGAGCGGCGGCAAGTATACCTCGTACAGGATTACGAGGTAGAAAGAAATACCTGTGGACGGACGAAGAAATAGAGAAACTAATACAACTAAATGAAAAATACAAAAATGAGAGATTTCCGAACAAGAAAATACAGGAGTACTTTCCTACGAAAACGACAAAGCAGATTAGTAATAAACGAAGAGAACTGCCAACGGCTGAACAACGGAACATGTCTACACCAACAGTAGACAGGCCGTTGGAGAGTAACGGACCACCACCAGCCGGCAGCCACTCATACGATAGCACAGGGACGTCCAATGAGGTTTCAAGGGCAGTAATCGAACCTGATTTCTCTGGCAACGCACATATCGAACCGGAAGAGCAATTAGAAACACAACTGAACGCTAACTTAAGTGATATCGGCGTAGATGAAGATCTCATCGAGGCATGGTCCAACAAAATCAGACAAGAAGCATACTCGGTGACTCTGCCAGAAGACAACAGGTACTATGCATGCATTCAAGAACTAGACGCTATACTGCATAACTTAAACAGAAGCCCTGAAACCTCGAAAGAAATAGATAAGTGGATTAGTGACTCACTTGTTCCTAAACTCCTGAACAACGAGAACAGGGATCGTAATAGAGAACCAACAGGAACGACTAATCCACGTGACGTGCGCAGCGGTCGACGGAGGAACAAAAGAAACCACAACGCACGTGCACGATATTGTTATGCCCGTTGCCAGGAACTATACAACAAATGTCCAAAAAAGCTGGCAAACGTGGCTATTAGTGGCGATTTCTCAGCAGTCGAAATGCACAACGAACTGCCAACTGCCACAGATATTGGCCAACTATACACTGAGTTGTGGGGTGTCAGTGGCCCCACAATGGAAGACCAGGAAGACTCAGAAGAATTGGTATCACCGTCAGAAGCCTGCCCCCCATTCAACGTGGACGAAATTAAGAAGCGGATAAATAAGATTAAAAACAAAACAGCTGGCGGGCTAGATCAAATAAAGAAAACACACCTCAAAGAGGAAGGTGTGGCGGAAGTAATGACCAAGCTCTTCAATATCGTATTGCTCTCGGGACACTACCCAGAAATGTGGAAACTAAATCGGACAACACTGATACCAAAAGCGGGCAAAGATCCACAAGACGTCAGAAACTGGAGGCCAATAACGATCGGTCCGCTGCTTGCCAGAATATTCTCAGGGGCCATCGACAACAGAATAAGGAAATTTACAACCCAATCGAATAGACAAAAAGGTTTTGTGACTGAGGATGGTTGTAAAAATAATATAGTCTTACTGGACCGAGCTATAGCACGGATGAAAACCGAAACAAGCGGCGTAGTGAGTATCATTGATATCTCCAAAGCATTTGACACGATACCACACGCCGCATTGCTACCCAGTCTGAGAAGGAAACGTGTTCCACAATGCCTAACGGACATTGTCAGAAGTATGTACGAGTGCTGCAAAACTGTAATCAAGGCCAGAAACGAGGACAGCGTAGAAATCACTCTTAAACGGGGTGTTAAACAAGGAGACCCCTTATCGCCGCTGCTATTCAATTTGGTTATCGAGCCAATCATCGAAAAAATAGACCAGGAAACCTCCGGGGTTAAAATAAACGAAAATAATCTGGCGATATTAGCCTTTGCAGACGACATAGTACTTTTAGCTAAAGATGCACAAGAGGCAAAAGAACAAATGGAGATGCTAACAAAATATCTCAAGGATCTGGGCATGAAAGTGGCTACGAACAAGTGCTCATGCTTCGAAATTGTGGCAAAGAACAAAACATGGCACTTAAAGGATCCCAAAATACAAATTGACAATGAAGAAACTCAATTTGTAACCCCGGAGAGTATTATTACGTACCTGGGAATTGGAATCAAACCGTGGAGTGGATTGAAACGAGGAGAGGAAATACCAGCGATTATGCAAGCAATAAAGAATGTAAAGAAAATGAAGCTGAAACCACACCAGAAGGTCAACCTTATTCAAACATATGTATTGCCTCACTTCATTTATGGCCTGATCGCAAGTCCGCCGCACGGAACCTCACTTCGAAATCTGGATCAGGCTCTGAGGCAAGAACTTAAACAAATGTTGCATCTAACCCCATCGACAACCGATGGCCTAATTTACACGGCGAAATCGCATGGTGGATTGGGATTTCCTCGCCTCGAACACGTTGTAAAACTGGCCGTACTAAGACATGCCGCTAAAGCGGCCGTATCAACTGACGCTGTCCTGAGCGATATAATACAAGATGAATCACTACATAAACGATTGAAAGTCTACAGCCAATTCGATGCGTATTAACTGGCCAGCCACACTAGAAGAGATTGAAACCGCTCGTAACCGGCTCAAGAAGGAAGAAACCGACCGATGGCAACAGCTAATATCACAGGGACAAGGGGTAGCTGATTTCCGCCAAGACAAGATTGGCAACACATGGTTACGGATCCCAACGCTCTTGAAGCCCTCCAGGTTTATCGACGCACTCAAATTAAGGACAAATACGTTTGGAAACAAGACAACCATGAAGCGAGCAAAGCAGTGCGACGATGTAACATGCAGAAGATGTCGCGCCCAACCAGAAACTCTGGGTCACATTATTGGAGGCTGCATGCATGTCAAGCCAATGCGTATCAAACGGCATGACGAAATCAGGGACTTCATCGCAAACAAAGTAAGTCCAGGCCGTACTGTATTTGTAGAACCGACTGTTAACATTCTAGGTGAGCTTAAAAAGCCGGACCTGGTGATCAAAGACCAGCGAAGGCTCCTTGTGGTCGACGTCACAGTCCGCTACGAGGACCAAGCCAGCCTGGAGCGAGCATACAAGGAAAAGGTTAACAAATACCAAGCGACAGCTGAATATGTACAGCGAAGGATAGGCTGCTGGGAGGCTAAGGTACTACCGATTGTAGTAGGAGCAAGGGGCGCAATGACATCCAAAACCCTGAGCAACCTCAAAGAGCTGGGGATTACACGTAAGGACGCATTGACTATCTCAATGATAGCAATAAGATCTTCAATTGAGATAGCGAACGCATTCATCGACTACGACAACATTGACTAACCCCTTGAAGTTTTCCTTTTTCCGCTATACTATCTTCATCTCTAGGCAATATCGATTTTTCGCTTCATACGTATGCCAATATACGTAAACTTCTATAGTCTCGGTACATACGTATACCGATGTACGTAGAATCGAGACAATTGCCCAATTACCGAAAAGTATGCGTGCAATAAACGGGACACAAACTTGACGAGATATTGCCAGGAGTCTAAACACTGTACGACACAGTCGATGAACGCGCTTGCTTAGGTGAGCCCTCTGGAAACAGAGGTGCAAGTCGTAAGGCCTTTCCGAGCTGGAAAGTGCCACGGCGGCAGAGCGGGTTAAGTTCGCATGCACTAACCTGGGCGGACGCCTCCACGTGGCTTCCCCGGTAACACGCTTATCATAAGTGTGGCTAAGTCCGCTTTCCTTTCGAGAGGACTCTGTTCTAACTAGTTTTTCCAACCTCGTTACATAATTGGTGGGTTTCGCTGGAAAGTGGATGGCTCCGTTTTGATTGCGAGGTGGCATGTATTGAGTTTTAGTCTGCCTGTATATTTATTTATTTATTCTCTCTTTCTCTCTTTCTCTTACTTTCCTTTTCCTCCTTCCCTCTCTTCCTCTCCGCGCTGTCTCTTTCTATCGATTTTTCCCTTCTCTCCTCCTCCTTTTCTCTATCTCTATCACTTACTTTCTCCTCTCTTCTCCTTTCCTCATTGTTAAGTTTGAAACCCTACGGGGGGGATATACCCCGGAAGTCCGTCCGCTTGTGCACTGCACAAGCGGACGCAGAATTTAGCCAAATGCCTCGTCATCTAATTAGTGACGTGCATGAATGGATTAACGAGATTCCCTTCTGTCCCTATCTACTGAGAGACGCCATCTTGGTTTACTCGAGGACTGACGCGCTTCACGTCGCTCCGCGAATTCATCCAGTTTTTGGTGGATCATCTATCAGGATAATTGTACCCTGTGTTTTAACGTGTATATCTAGTGCTGGTGATCGTTCAGAGACATTAAGTTCCGTGAAACTCGAATTCTGTGAGGAGGAAAGTGCGAAAAACCGACCCGGGCGTTGCCACGTGTCGGTTTGCTCACGCCAACCGAGTCCCAGCCGACTTTCTCGGAGCCGCCTAACACACCAGTGCCGCTGCGTGTACAGAAGAATTCCTGCCGAATTACTGTACTCTCTGATACATTCAGAGCAGAAATCGTAGCGAAAACAGTAAAGGTAAGTCCTAGAAATAACATCCTTAGTGTAAGATTTTCATTGTAGGTAAGCAGCCATATTGGACGCCATCTTGGATGCCATCTTGGCGGTCATCTTCCGACGCGGTACACAAGCGCCACCTGTGCGACGCGCCGGCGAACCACGTGCCCGTCTCTGATTGGCTCACGCCAGCAGAAATCCAAGCACCGGATTGGCCGACGCTAAGCAAACGAAACGCGCTCATTGGTCAACGCGAACACTATCTACCAATCAAGAAGGTAACCTGGACACAACAACGACGTCTAGTGGAAAGACCGAGGAAACAGCAGCAAATACCACGCGGGGCATTATGAACGTCGACGTGGAGACCTCCGACGCGGAACATATGATTACCGTGCGGAGAAAGTCGAAACACGTCAGGAAGAGGAAAAAATCCCCCGACACTGACCTGGACCGCCCGCCGAAACGGAATGAGGAAGCAAAATCTGGTGCGTCCGAAACAGAACGCAGGAACGAAGCGAAGAAGAGGATTAGCGACAAGGAAGGGAGCGCAAATACCACAAACGCCCATCAGCGAGGACCGGTATTTGAAATCAAGGAGAAAGCGGAGGCAATCGAGCGGAAAATTCTGGAAGTCGTATCGTGTCCAGAATACGGAATCGACCCGTCTACAGGCAAGTATCTTATTAATAAGATAACAAAGCTGCATAGCCTTTTGCAGGAATCCTTGCTGCTGAACAGCAATCTAGAGGGACAAATCGCAGCATTACAAAACCAGAGCACGCAGCAAATACACCAGCTTGCCGAGGTGAAGAAAAATGTTATCGCAACGCCACAACAGCAGAAGACAACGTACGCGGAACGCCTCGGGATCAAATCCAAGACCGCGGAGCTCTCCAACCAGAGACAGAACCCCCCCGAACGTCGTAATCATACGACCCAAAGACGTCACGCAGTACAAAGACAGCGAGGCGACAAAGCAGGCGTTAGTAACGCTGGTATCACCCAAGGAAGAAAACCTTAAGGTGAAAAACGTCAGGCGAGTCCAAGGGAGTGGTATAGCCGTGGAAACTGCCACAGCATCCAACATGCAAGCACTCATGAGGAACGAGAAGCTAAAAGCAGCAGGTTTCTCAGTAGATGTGCCGGCAAAGAAGAGCCCTCGAATAATAATATTCGGCGCCCCCCGAAGAGACGACGACAAAGAAATTATCCAGGCCATCGTGGACCAGAACCTGGACGCGCAAGAGGCAGCGAAATACAAACAGCAACTAAAAGTTGCATTTAAGACAGGAAATAAAAACAACAAAGAGTGCTGCAATATAGTACTGGAAACCTCAAAGGAACTCCGAAACCTTCTAGTAAAGAAAGAGCGCCTCTATCTTATGTGGCAGTGCTGCCAGGTGCAGGACTTCATCGCGGCGACAAGGTGCTACAAGTGCCAAAGCTACGGCCACACAACTAAACACTGCAGGAGCGAAACCGACGTATGCGGCCACTGTGCGGAGGCAGGGCACAGTTTCAAAAACTGTCCCAACAAAGCCAGGCAGGCAACCTGCGTAAATTGCAAGAAAGCAGGTAAAACACATAACCATAGCGTTACCGACAAGGAGTGCCCATCGCATGTTGCGGCGATTAATCAGATACTGTCTAGAACCGATTATGGACAGTAATATAAATATATCGCGTAACTGGACCGCGCAGGTCGCGCCAGTAATAACCACCACGGGAATAAGGGTATTGCAGCTGAACGCCCAGCGCTCAGCTGCAGTGATGGGCGAGGTACGTCAGCTCGTAACGGAAAAGCACCTGGACGTACTGCTATTACAAGAACCATACGTCCGGCAGCACGGTACGAGCTACACCATCGGCGGACTAGGGTCCGGAGCAAGAGTCGCAGCCACAAAGTCGCACCCTCGGGACCCGGGACAGATCTCCGGCCGACAGTTCGGGTTCACACCCGGAAAGTCGACGGAAGACGCAATCGTCGAGCTGCGCCGCGCGATCGATGCCTCCGAGCACCGATACGTGACGGGGCTGCTCTTCGATATCTCAGGCGCTTTCGACAACGTCTGGTGGCCGTTGGTTCTGAGCAAGCTGAAAGAGAAGGACTGCCCGCAAAACGTCTTCAAGGTAATGCGGAGCTATTTTAGTGATCGGAACGTATTCATCAAAGTTGCGTCAGGAAAGGTATCCAAGCAGGCCACCAGAGGCTGCCCACAGGGCTCCGTCCTCGGTCCGGACTGCTGGAACCTCATGTTTGATGGCCTCATCGCGCTCCTAGAGTCACTTGGCTTTACAGTCATTGCCTACGCCGACGATCTTCTCGTCGTCGTATGCGGAGACAGTAGGCGAGAACTAGAGACAATAGGTCAGCGCGTTGTGGACATCATTCTAGAGTGGTGTTCCTCGGCTAAACTCGAGATCTCGGCCCGCAAAACTGAGGCAATTGTGCTCAGGAGCGGTTGGATCAAGAGAGCCCCGATAGGCAGACGGGGAGGAGCTCGCCCAGATAGGAAAAGGAAGGCCGTCCGCCCGTCAAAGGCAGACCTGACCCGTAGACCACCGAGTATAAAAATAGGTAACGCGAGTATCAAATTTAAAGCCGCTGTGCGGTATTTAGGAGTACATTTCGACAGCGGTATGGGTGTGCGTACCCACTGTCAATACCTGAGCGATAAAATGGGACCTCTCTTCCAGAAGTTAGGTAGGCTGGCGAGGTGCCAATGGGGGCTCCGCTTCGGCGCCCTCTCCGTGATCTACAGCGGCGTGTTCATCTCGGTAGTGACGTATGCCGCCGCCGGGTGGGCCGACCTGTGCTCGGAGAGGGAGTTGAAGGTGCTTCGCTCCATACAGCGCCGCGTTCTCATCTCGGCGACTGCGGCATACCGCATGTCGTCGTGGGAGAGCCTGTGCGTGGTAGCGGGCGCGGTCCCGGTTGACATCTTGCTGGAAAAACACAGGGCCCTCTTCAACCTCCGAAGGGGAAAGGACGCGAAGATAGGAAACACACAGATTCCAGCCGGCCTGGATGATGTCAAAGAA